CTTCGCCAGGAGCGTTGGGGAAGTCGGGGATGCAGCTGGGGAGCGTCGTCCTCGAGCCTCGGCCCGGCCTTTTGCCTCAGAAAAACACGTTTTCTGTTGCTCAACAGACCTAGGAGACTAGCGAGCCCCCTGGTAGGGACGGGTGAAGGAAGACGGAGGGGACCTCGCTGGGCAGAGGACGTGGCAGAGCAGCCGGGCAGAGTGTGCGGTGGAGCCCGCTCCAAGTGTATCGTCCCTCAGACAGACTCAGGCGCGGGATGAGCACTTGCTGCCCTCGCTATCCCCTCTCTGCCTGCTCCAGACAAACCTCCTGCTCCACGTGGGGCCTGCAGTCCCCTGGCCCCACGCGAGGTGCTCGCGCCTTGTGTGCTCGGCCTTTCTGGGCCTGTTCCTGTGCTGCCAGCGCGCGGGTTTGCTCCAACTGCCCCGTGGAGCTCAGTGTGGTTAAAAACGTAAAAAAAAAAAAAAAAAAAAAAAAAAAATTAAAAAAATGTTGGGATTGTAAGAATTCAGAGAAGTAGAAATGCCAGAGTTGAGATTGTCCAAGAAACTTTATTCTGGCCCCTTGTGTATGGGAGGCGCCAATATCTCTGCTGGATTTCTGTGTCATTTAGAGTGCACAAGAAATTGGTTAGTGGTTAGAGGCTATTTAGTAAATAAAATTGGCTCTGTAGACAATTCCTGCAGTTGGAATGAAGAATTCTCTCTTCTTCATTAAAAAAAAAGGGTTTTCACAAAGGCTGAGTATTTGTAATTGCAACCTAGATCAACTGAAGCCATGCTTTGGATTTATCAATGCCATAAAACAGAAGTATTTTTGGAGAAAAAGTCTTCAGACTTATCAAATTTGACTTCATGCTGAAGTAAACACTTGCCTCTTAATCGCTTTGGGTTCCCCAAATATCAAAGTAGAAAATAACTCTGCCTGGCCTCACACTGGACTTGCGATGCTGTTGTACAGTATTCTGGCAACCCACTGATTTAAGGGAAAAGATGGTGACAATTTTATCTAGGATTCAGTGAGGTTTTGGTTTCATGCTACATGTAAAGCATGGATCCAAATACTAAATAGTTATGTAATCAAAAAAAGTGTTCATCTTGTCTGCTTATTTCCTATAGAAATAACCACATGATAAAGTAATGAAAAATCAGTAACAGCATGTGAAGAAACAGTGAAAGAGAATTTGGGTTGCTCTCCTCATACGTATTGTAATATTCCCAATTTTATCAACATTGCAACTATCTTTTTGTCTTCAAGGATGAAGAAGCAACAATCAGCTACCTCTGTCATTAGTTTTTAATATAATTAGCGCTGAAAAATCTTTACACATCTTGAATGTTCACAACCACATAGGTGTATACGTGCTCTACGTGACCCTGTGTGTGCAGGAGGTTGGACTAGATGATCTCTAGAGGTCCCTTCCAACCTTAGGCATTCTATGATTCTATGTTGCTTGCCTTTCTTGCTGATAATGAAAATTAGTTGCATTTGCTCTTCTGTAACATTTTTCACCTTTATGCTTTTGCTGTTGAGCAATCATTATAAAGGGATTCCTATGCATTTTCTTAGCTGAAGTGCAGAAAATTCAAAGTATGTATCTATTGGATGCAATCCTGTGCCACGTGCTCTAGGTGACCATGCGTGTGCGGAGAGGTTGGACTAGATGATCTCTAGAGGTCCCATCCAACCTTAACAATTCTAGGATTCTACGATTCTAGGCTTTCTTTCTTTCATAAATGCTTGCTAGGATGTAATCTAAGGTTTAGACTACACTTAATCTGTTGTCCCTAAATACTTTTTCTTTATTGGTACTGTCATGAAATTGGCTTATTTACAAACTGAAAAAGAAACCGATGCAATTCACAGGAACAAATAGTTCTAGGTTTATTTATTTATTGTGATGAAGCTCAGCTAGTTTTTGGATTGATGCCTTTAAAGTTAACAGTTTCTTATTAATGACTACTAAGTACTAGCCATGACTTAGCTAGTAATGCATGGTAGTAACCTCACTGGACTCTTAACAGGCTTGAGAACTCTTATGCATTTTGTGTTTGCAGTACTTTTACTGAAACTAGCTAGTGAGGAAGCCACATACTTGTGTGGTGGTGATTTGTTGTCCGTGCATATTAAATATTTTCTGGGTTTTATTTGGCTCTTTTTTCTCATCTGATACATAAAATACAATGGGGTTAAAATAATTAAAGTCTCAAACATTTTATATTTATTTGGACTTTAATATACATTACTATGGAAGTGTAACATTGAAAACAATGGTGTTACCTTTAGTTTAGCAGTCTGATAGTTTTGCGTATCATTTATGTTCTAACTCTGTAATTTTTCATAATAAGCTTGAAATCTTTTCTTCTTTTTCATCCTTGCTGTGTTTTGATTATAGTAGCTAAATACCTCTTACCTCGTTATGTTTTTCTTATTTACATGGGTTAGTCCTTCTGAATCAAAGTGGGCAGCCTGTTTAACTGGAGTATTGTCATCCAAACAACTCTTTCTTTGTTCTAATTATCTAATTTTCAAATGTATGGTGCAATTGCTTGGCATTATAAACTATATTTCATTGCTTGCCTCTGGGTTTTAGACGGATGTCATCAGTGGATAACACTGATGTTCTCAATTCTTAAGAAGCCAAGACCAGAGAATTAAGTATTCCTTTTTTCCTTTATCAATCAGGGTTACTTATAGTATTCCAAGTGCCCATCTCTTTCAGACTTGCTTAAATACTGCTTTCCCCGTTTTATTTCCTAGTGAGAGAGGGAGAAAAAAAAATTCTTTATTATTCCATTGTTCTAGTTTTCTGTATAATACATTGTTTCCTTTTTGCTGTATGTACAAAATTACATCCCAACCATGTGTTGTGCCTTGAAATTTCACTTCTTGTGTTTTCCCATAGCTAGCTATTTCACTTCCCATATTATGTACAGTTACATTTGTCCAAGCTTCATTGGTATTGTCATGGTCCATTTGGTTGCTGTTGAACCTTATCCTTTCTCTTAACTCTTAGCTTAACTCTTTTTGCAAACCTTCACCTCTTTATGCCTTGTTTTGCAACTTGGGGCCTTGGTTTGGCTGGAGGGTGTCCTTCACTAGCATTTTAACCTGCTATGTAGAAAATGATATGTAATCTTTTGCAGTAATTGTGATAATGGTACAATCCATGCATAAAAGTCTTCTCTGTTGTGAAACACGATCTTGCATATGTTTTTGATCTGCTAGAAGATATTTTCCATTATATGCATAGAGTGTTTTCCATCATGGGATGGGATGCTTAAAGCTGTCAGCTTAAAAATGGCTTATCTAGTGCTTTTTTTTTCTCCCATCGATTACCTTTTGTACAGTTGGCCTTCTGTGCATGTGTGTGTGTGTGTACATGCATATATGTGTATGCTTGCTTAAACAGCTGGAATTTGACAAAAAACATAGAGCGGTTGGCAAATATTGGTCAAACACCATGTAACCTAAGCTTTAGTGAAACAACTGGAAGCTATAGTGAAAAGTTGGTTGTTTAAACTAATGCAGAATGACATGTCTCTACACTGCCTTCATGTGGAGAAAAATCTAAGTTCATGGCATGTTTTAAATCCATTTTGTAAATCTGTCTTTAATGTGAAGCGCAGACTCTGGCTTAGTCAACTCAGTGAAGGAGAAATGTTGCATTCTTTTATCTGGTAATAAGGGATAAATAGAATTGGAAACAATATAGAAAAATATCCCCTGAATCTAGAATAGGTAGAAGAGTTAATTCAGCTTAATAGCAATGGTTCTTATATAAACATACTTGTAATTTCTTTCATGTACTGATCAATACAGGAACGACAGCACAGGCATTGTGAAAATTGCTGCTTTTCTCCTAGTTTTACCAATTATATAAGCTCTCAATTAGCATAAAATTATGCATTATATATATTTATTTTCAAAACCATCTCCTTCTCCTTCTATTGCCTTTCGAGGAGATATCATTTGTTTTTCTTAGCTGTAACCATTTTTCTTATATGGAGTGTTTTTCTTTCTGATTATTATAAACTCAGCCAATCTTATCCCCTTGGGATTATCTGCCCTTCTGCCAATTCCTGTGAAGACGAGTCCTGAGCTCCTTCTCCCCTCAGACAGTCCTGGGTCCAAGATATGATGTAAGTCTAGCTCATGACATCTTGGCCATTGCAGCGTTTACAATCAAGCATCATTAGATAAAGTCACAAGAACATCAGTCACCGAACCTATGTTGAGCAAGACATGTAGATGGCGCAGAGTGATGCTTAGTAGTCTGTTCTGTATCTCTTCCATCAGTGGTGCCAAACAGGCCTTATATATTGATGCAGTTGCGTCAATCTCAGGACTAGTTTGAGATCATTCGTTCACTTAGTGAACTAGTGAAGTGAATAGTGCTCTTTCATTAGCTGCTAGTGCCTTGCTTTTTTATTTTTCGTACTACGTGGCAAGAAGATTGGTTTGCTTTTGCATTTCATACATCTTTTTCCTGCCATGTAAAATTCAAGTTGCTTATCCTTGCCTGACAGTCCCTGTCTGCTTGGTGCTTCTTTCATTTCATTGTTACTGCTCTCCTTCTCTGACCTAGATCAGCTCTACATGCCCAAAATACTTGATGCACCTCCTCCCCTCACCCACCTTATAATACTTTCTCCTGTGCAGGAGGTCCTTTTTGATATGGCCAACAACTTTTACTTGATCAAGTCGTTTCCCCCTTTCATCCTTTCTTTCTTCTTTTTCTTTTCTCTTTTTATTTTTTTAATCTGCATGATCTCATTAAGATAATTTATGTCATGTTTTAAGATTTTTTTTTCTTTGCTGTGTACTATTCTTCCCTAAGTAACTAGAGTCTGAGGGGTGAATGATGTCAGCTTCCAAATTTCATTCATCTTAGTAATTGTATGCTGTTAAATGAGAATGTGGTAGTTTCTTATCTGCAGTTAAAAAAAAAAGCTATATATTTTTTATTAGGCACTTGCCAACAGCATGGTTGATGCCTCAGAATGCATATATACATGAACCCTGGCTCACAAATCTCAGAAAATAAATTTAAGCATGATACACCCAGTGGAGTTGTATCACTTAAACATGATACATCCTGTTGCTTCTTACCTTCACAACAGTTTTTTGTCCGTGGGGTAGGTAGAGAGGGCAGGCAAAGATGATGATGATTGTGAAGATAAAAAAGAAAAGTGCTTAAGAGAAGTTTGGAAAAAAGTATGGTATGAGTTATAATAGGGAAGAAAATAAAGGTATACGAAGAGCAAGAATATTTTCGAAAGATCCTACAGTTCTGTCTGTGTATATTTTATCAACATATAACTGGAAGATTTTAGAAAATTGTGAAATACAAGTAGCAGACTTAAAGATTAGATACTTAAGGTGATCCATTTTTTCTCAGATGAGGCTTAGAGAGTATTGTAGAGATTCTTTCTTACTATTTAGTTTCACATTATGTTGAGAGATAACTACTATATTTCTTACATCTTCATTTTTGTCTAATAATTCAAAGTAAGTGCCAATGGCAAGTTTATCTTGAGATACTGCTGTTCCTTTGGTGTCTCACAAAGATCACACTAGAAGCATTCAGGACTAGGCTGAACTTAATGTATTAACTGTTCTTCATTTTTATCAGAGGTTATTGGCTATATGGAGGAAATATAGGCAAGTGCCAAAGTTTCTTTGAAGAAAGCATTATGAGCTCTTCTTTATAAGTATTTACTTATATGTTTATATTTATATAAGTGTTTAAGAATGTTACCCCTACTGGCCCAACTCATTTATCTCTTTTCTGCCTTCCCACCCCCATAAAAACCCTCACAGATTTGTTAGGCTGCTGTACTGTCTGACCAGAATGGAAAATGCATTTCCTGGGTCCCATTTCATAGTGTTAAGAGAGAGCAGAGGCCCCTGATACAAAAGCTGCAAAACAATTTTGGAAGAAGAGCTGCAGGGAGCAACAGTCAATAGAATATGGAGTATTTATTTTATTTTATTTTATTTTATTTTATTTTATTTTATTTTATTTTATTTTATTTTATTTATTTTTAGCACCAAGACTGTTGCAAGTGCAATGATGGTGAATTCTGCTCACGGAGGGATTCTGGGGACAGGTGGCCTTTGAGATGTGTCTCCTGGAGTGGAGATACCAGCGCAGTCTGCATGGCTGCAGCCAGCTGTGCCCTTGCTTTAGTGGGGGAGGGTTGGACACGTGTGATAGAGAAGACAATCTGGTAGGAGCTGGAACTAAGAGAAGAATGACATGAGGACTAATGAGGAGACTTTAATTAGGAAAAGTAGTATGTAGAACATTGGGCATAGATAATGTAACTCCTGGTCAGATAGTTGCTGATCGAAATGTGGTCAATTTATCTATACTAAGAATAAATATGACTGATGTTACTGCCTAGTAGAACAGAGTTGGGGAGCAGTGGAAGGGAAGACTTTCAGCCCCCTTCATCAGGTGGGATGGATTTCAGAGAAAGTGGCTCACACGGTAAGTAATTTCTGAATAGCTGTTGGTTGCATTACTTACTACATGTGCAAACTTAATAAGCACTTTTTTGTAAGTCCAAGGTAAAGGTCATTTTTTTTTTAGTATTTTATCAGAGCTTCTATTGGAATCTAATGCAAATTTTATGAAATCAAGGTATATTCTTCAACAGTCTGGCATATTAAGGAAAATACAATATTGGACTATTGTCCAATACGTGTCTCTATATAAAAATATTTTTTAAACTGATTTTTCTGTATAGCATTTCATCATTTTGTAAGGAATCAAGATGATATTACAGAAAGAATCTTAGATTACAAATCTTTGAGTTTTTGTCCCAGTTGGCTTGTAGCCAATGTGTAATTTCTTTTGACTCAATGAAGCTTTTGCTATGTGATGTGGTTTCTAAAGACAGCAGTGTTCTATAACTCGAAGCACTTAATTCTCCCTGTCCTGAGGAGGAAAAAAAATTGTATTTATGCAGGCAATGATATTCAAATAAGGTGTTCTATCTGTTTTTCCTTTTTTTTTTTTTTTTCCTTTTGGAAGGCTGTTCAAGCACTTCCCGACTCTGATGGCTAAGGCCATTCCTCAATTCCCAACTTAAATTTACTTATGGGCAATTTTATACTTGTTAGCTTTTACACCAATTTTGGCTTTCACAAAAGTCTGAGTAATACAGTTAGCAATTTTTCCTTTTAAAACTAAGTATGTCAGGTAGCTGTCAGCTCTCTGATGTGTCTGATCTCCTCTTTTCTTGCAGAATTCAATTCTGAATCCAAGTCATCTGAATGGCAAAAAGCTGACAGAATGGTTCTCTGTTCTACTTTGTGATTTCCTTTTCTCTTCATTTTTAAATTTTGTGTTTGATAAAACTGAAGTGCTTATACATTGTTACTTAATTTTGATCCTCATCAGTTAATATAGATAAAATAATCAATGTGAGTGTTTCTGCTTACCACCTCAGCTTTAGCAAATATGCTGCTTATTTAACTTGTCCAAACATATTGAAGGTATGGAATTTTAAGGCAAAAACATTCACAGTCTGAAAAGGGAGCACTGACAAGTTCAGTCAAAAGGGAAAAGAAGAATAATTTATAAAAGGAACTGTAGATAATGATGCCAGCCAGTTGTTTTAAAGTGCATCTGCCTCACCTTTAATGAATTAGATTTGTCAACAGCGAATGTTTTATGCACTACTTCTAATGAAGTGGCATACCAGCACTACAGTGTACTTTGAGGTTTACTCCATCAAAGCTCTTTGCTGTCGTAAAGTAGACCTTTTTAAATAATAGATACTAAAAACTACATTTAAATAACATTAAGGTTGTGACACAAACACCAAATGACAAACTTCAGGCAATTCAAAGTTAGGGCTGACAACTTGTCATTAACTCGCATTGTTGCTTTTTTAAAAAAGAAGCACAATTGCTTGATTTAAGGATTGAGTGTCAGATTAACTTTAAATTTCTTGACTTTTATGGGTTGGAGTTGCAACCTTACTGTCAATTTTAATACAGCTTTTTGCATAGCATCTGTTTCCAGAAAAGTAAAAAAAAAAGCAATGCAAAAAGAATGGGTTTTATTTTTCATTTAAAACCTGATGTAAAAGTATTGGTCCAAGAATAGGGTTTATGTCATTGTCAAGTATGTATCTAATTCTTTTAAACTCTCTCTCCTCTTGCCTTTGCTGGTTCTTTAGAAGTTTTTTAGAGAAACAGTTAAGGAAACTTTAGTGCTGGAATACTATAGCTAAACTGCTGACAGGTACTGATAGTTTCCAGTCTTCCACAGAAGGAACCCCATTTCTCAGTAAAGAGTACTGAGTAACACTGAGGAATTTAATACATGTAGGAAGCCTCTCTTTTATATTCTGGGTCTTGAGAGTGTATGTGTGTGTAAATAAAGTCCTTCAAATCTTGTGTGGATGTGAATTCTCTAGATCCATGTTGCCTAAGCCCAATGGATACCGCCTATGATTCTCATCATGGTTTGGGCAACTTGATCTAGCACAAACTGATGCTGCTGCTGAGGAGGCCGCGCTCTGCCAGCCGCTCAGCGTGGTCACCTCCCAGCCGGACCTGCACTCGTGTTCATCCAGCTGCTGGATACTGGGGGTCCGCCGGCTCATACGGAGTGGGTGCTTGGTGCAGAACAACAATACAGGCCTTTTTCTTTTTTTTTTGCCAAGGTAGTTTTCAGCTCCTTGTTTTAATTCCTTACACTAGTATCCAGGAACAAGAGTGGATGCAGTAGTCAATGTTCAGCTCTTATAATACTTACCTCAAGCTGCAATCTCTTTCATTTTTAAAATCGCTTAATCTGTAAGTGTGCGACCTCAACATTCTCAATTAAGCTTTTCTATAAAGCTGCAGAAACAGCTACTGAGCTGTATGCACCTTACTTAAGCATTTCTCATAGTTGTCATACACTATTTTGTTAGATTATGTGACCTTCTCATTTCCCATCCCATCTTCTCTGCATTGCTTCATTATCTTTGGAACAACAAAATGAAATATTATGTAATCATCATGCTCTGTGGAATAAGTATCAACTGAAATAAAGGCCCTTAAGATTGTGAGGGGGTTGTTTTTGTTTTTGTTTTTTTTAACTTTTGAACCTTGGCTATTATATATCATTTGCAATTAAGAAGTATCTATTGTATAAGCTATTTTATATAATACTTTAGCAGTTGAGAATTTAATCTGTGAAACTGTTAATTCCTCAGATGCTACTTATTGGTAATTTCCTTCTCTTTTTTACACAGGGCCCTTGGAAAACTGTTAACAACACATGAACAAAGCAATGATCTCATAATACTGAAAACTTAAAACTGAAAAGAAGACTGATTCAGTTACACAGAGGGCATACTGACTGAAGGTAGGTACTTGTATTTCTGTTAGTTGGGTGTCTTCTGAAATTGCCCTGCTGTAAACTGTAAATGCTTTCAGAGTTTCAATAGGATGAGAACTGTAATGTTTATAGGAAGATCCTGGTGAGCTCTAGTGAAGAATATATGTGAATTCTTATTGATTGAAGAAAATGTAGGTGAAATGTAGAATAAATTGATGCTATATATTAACTTAAGGTTTTCTTAAAGGTTTTAAGCTTTATTCAGTTTGATTAATCATTTTATAAAATAATCTCTTTACATTAGATATAAAAGATGGCTGGATTGGGTAACTATGCAGAAATGAGTAGATAAGAAATCTGGATGCACATTAGTGAAGTTTGGGAAGAAAACCAGACCATGTATCTATTTGTGTGCAGACAGGAATACATGATTATTGCAGAAGTAATTAAGACCACTTTTTCTGATGGTGCATTTTGTTAGTTACAGCAGTCCCTAGTAGTTTTTGCATTTGCAGAACAGTCTGTTACGTATTATACAGAAAACCAATAATTTCTGTTGACCTTATTAACACAAGGTCTGCATATGTGGCCTATCTCTCCGAGTATAAAAAACTCTTTTCTCAGTGCGATCCGTTTCCCTTTGCTCTGATTACTTCATTGTCATTCGTGCATATCAGTACAAAAATCTAACTTGAATAAAAACTTGTAACTGTCCCAAGAAAAAGTAGCACAAATTAAGAAGTGGATTATTTGAAATACGAATTGTAGGGTGCACTTGTTTTTGATGCTTACCGTGTCACCAGCAACATGTGGGTTGGGTCAGGTAATGCAAATGTAGAGGGTGATGAAGAATATAGCCCGCTCAGTCCTTTCACTATAATCAGTTTCTTCCTGGTGCACACTCTGATAGAAGAAAAGTTGAAAAGTGAACTTCAGTATATCATGAATCCAGTCATTCTTTCCATGCCTTCCTATGCCACTAAAGTAATAGATTTTTGAATCTGTTATCTGTGACAATCTTAAAGGTTCTGTATTGTGTTCACGGCCCAAGATCGTCAATAAACCAGAATATTGTAATGTCATTTTTACCAACTCATCTAGGAAAAAAAAAAAAAAAAAAGAATATTGTTTCCGGGAAAGCTGCCTCCCTTTTCTATCCCTGAACTGTTGCCTCCTACTCAGAATACACATCATTAACTGCTTTTTCCACTGGAGGTTTTGTTTGGACTAATGACATCTTCCACACTGCTTTTGGTAGAATACCAGTGAAGGGAATCTTGGCTTGAACCACGTGTTTTTCGTTGCCTCAGAAAAAGCATAATTTGTCTTGCAGGTTAGCAGAATATCAACTCTAAGGTAAGTCTGGTGCAGAATACTTAAAATAAAAATAGATTTAATCACAACTTTTTCTTCTGAAGGTTATTCTGGCAGAGCTGTCACTATGCTCTGGTTCAGGCAGTTAAATTATAAAAAATATAGATTGAACCTTAAAAATGTGGATTGTAATATAAGTTCCTAGTTTGAATCTTATATGGCTTATTAATTTTTTGCTTTACAAAAGTGGTAAAATGCTATAAGATTAATATGAGGAAAAAGATATTTGCTAAAATGTTAATGTGGCCCTTGAAAATGCTTTTTATTCCTTTTTTCTTTATTCCTAATCCCAATTCAATATTGTTCTGAATTCAGTGTTGTTTCTTGGTGGTAGGCAGATAGTATGCATTGTTTATGCTATATTTCTTCTTCTTCGGTGATTGCACAGTTCATTTGATGCTCGGTGCTTTGTAATGAGTAATCCAGTGGATGGTATTCCTTTATAAGGTGTTTATGAACACTAGCACTCTTACTCATGAAACCAAAGGTTGAATGCTTTCTGCATTTCATATAGTATCCTTATAGAGTTCTTTAAGGTGATAGGGATGAGTATTTCCTTTCTGCATCACAAAACAACTGATTCTTTCTTCTTTGTAAAATAATTATTTATAATGTGCTTTGGAAGATAGATTTATTTTCTTGTTTGGAAACATGATTTGATATGACTCCCTCTCCCCTCTCTTAACACAGATGGCTCCTTCAACTTTAGAAATAATAATCCTGACACAGCATCTTCCCAAAAGAGATGGTAGAACCCATTGGAGTGTCACCTTAGTATTCCTGTTCATACCCACGTGGCATTTCTATGATATACAGAGATACATTTAGCCTGAAGTGCAGGTTGTGGATCTTTCATGAGCTGCCAGCAGCATGAGTCTTCCGTTGTCCTGTGACCATGAACTTCAAAGTGGTGTCCTTTTCTTCATCTGAAATTGCATGTCTCAACTGAATAATACTTTTTCCCCGAAGAATGTGGAGAGAGTGAAATCTGTCATTTAAAAGATCCTTGAAAAGAAGGAAGTTTCTTTCATTATAGATACTCCCTTCTTTCCTTTTCTTTCCTGGAGTGGCAATGCAAAGATAGCATGAATAAATATTCTTTTAAAATACTACTTTATGATGAAATGATTATTTTATCTGTAGCATCGTAGAAGTGACTTGCATTTCTTGCAAAGCAATGAAGACATAGCATCTAATAACATAACTCACAAAAGTAAGAGAAACTATTCAGAAAGGATTATAAAAAGGATACAATAGCAACCAGCTCTAAGCAACTAGCTGAAAAACCATTAAATGTAGCTTCTGAATTACATAGGAAGCTCCTGTGGAAGGAGCAATGAGAAAGAAGTGCTGCAAACTGGATAGAAGAAGATGTCAATAGATTGGTCTTCCCGGAGGATGAGTATGTTTGAGCCCATATATGATTGGCTGTAAATAATAAATGTTGAGGCAGGAAGGATGTTATAGTATTGAAGTATGGTTCATTCATGGTATTGAATTATTATATTCAGTAGCAGTTATGGTTTTGAAGCAATAGTAAGATGTTTGCTGTTTGCAGTGTGTCCAGAGACTGTATCAGGAAATATTAAGAGGAAATGGCCTACTGAGAACACTTCTATGTGCTGTTGAGCATGTGTGTTCCTGGAATTGTGGTAACACAGAATCAGAAGGCTGCTGCAATTGGTAAATAGTGACAAGTCTGTCCAAATTCGTAGGTTGCTTGAAATAGTAACTGGTCATCCACTTGGATCTTAGCAGCTAAGCATGAAATCACCTTTATCAGCATAGATGATTATTTTTGCTGAACATTCTGATGGTAGTTTGGGTGGGAAGAGAGAAGAAAGTCTCAACTGCCCAAAAGTGAAGAAATGTTAAGGGAAAATGAGAGAGATAGATATAGTAGCAGATCTCTCATAGGGAAATATGTTTTGTTTGAATGAAATGGATGAGACAGAAAGACATTGGGCAATTAATAAACATGAAAAGTACAATTTTTACAATAGATGTAATTAAACTTTGTTAAGGCAGAAATCTAGCTGACATCAGTTATGAGTTCTTTGGGTACAATGTGCTGGCTAACTCTAAGTCAAGGCAGTCAAGAGTAAAATTAAACACTTTGCTTAAAGACATGTAAATCAATATGCTTTTAGTTACAATTGAGAATAACATCTATCTGTGTATTACAGTTAGCTTTCTTTTCTAAGATGCTTAGATAATGATCTTCTGACCTACTTTACCATTATGCAAACTTTTATTGGAGGATTATATGTAATAAGTCTACCTGACTTAAAAACCTGTTTTACCTTTTGGTTAGCCTACTTTGCCCTTCTGAGCACCTGAAGTTTAAGTAGTCCTTTTCCTCTCTTCAGGGGAAGTCTAGGGAATTTTATAATTCCGAGTATATGAGATAAAAGATAATATAGGTCAAATCAGATGCAGACCTAATATAGCCGAATAAATGTACCATCAAGTATCAAAATTGTATGCCAGCCTAAAGGAGGAAAGAAAACAAGCAAACAAACAAAAACCACCTGGTAAGACTTCCCTCTGTGGGAAAGGAGATGAAATAAGAAGGCAAGTAGGAAGGTCATGAAAGGGGGTGATTATAAAGATCCAACTGTTACCCCGAAATGTTGAAAACAAACAAAGAAAAAGCCCCTGACTCAGGCCTGTGTTGTGATTAGTAGAAAGTGTAATTCTCTTGCTATGGAACACTAGACACCACATAGGCATATCCCTCTCTGTGTTTTTGTGGATTTTTCAAAGAAGATAGGCTTTTATTGTTTGATGTATTCTTACTAGTTACCATAGAATCTTTTAAAGCAGCTTTGATTAGTCTTAATAGGCCTAAACATGGGGCAGGCTATTTGAAGTATTTAAAAAAATATTTTACAACACAAGTCTTCTGGTGGGAATCATCCTGGTTATTCTGTTTTGCTTTTTTATATCTAGGAACACTTCAAAACCTGATTTCAACTTTAAGTAATTAAAAATAAGAAGAAGCAGTAGACTTCCAGATGATTAGAGAGAGTGCTGTGTCTCTATGAAGAAAATATTTTATATAAAAATACATTATGCTTTGATTAATCTACATAAACTTCAAATAGAATGCTAATTATGCGATACTGTGTCTCGTCAGAAAGAAAAAACAATTATTTTAAACTGATCTATGTGAAGTAACGAGTTACGTTATCAAGCTTGCTTTGAAGACAAACCAACAGAGAGGAAAATGATTACAGATCTCACTTTTGTGGAAGCGTATTTGCCTTGAACATATTTCCTGTTGTCAGATGCTAACCTTTCCAAGACTCACCCATATAGATGGAGATACAAATTTTGTGTTCCTTAAAAATGTAATTTATATTACATTTTAGTAACAGCCATTTGGTCTATCATAGAAATTTATAATGCTCTTGAAATAGACCTTTTGAGATCTTCTTAATTGAAATTATTTTTCTAATCTTTTTCTTAATTCCTTTTATGATTACCTTTTAACATGCAATTGTCATCCTTTGCATATGGGATTTTCTCTTTTAGCTGCAAGTTTAGCTGTGTTGGCTACTTTAAACACAATTACAGTCGTTGGTCTGCTAATCTTGCAAGTCAGTCTACACTAAACAAGAAGCTTATATCAAACCCTTGGCAGTTTCAGT